TTAGCAGTAGCGACCTAATTGTCGTTATTTTTTGAATATATGAATAATTTCTGCATTTCATCATAGTATTCTATGTCTCGTTTTTATATCTCTTACCGAAGGATAAGTGGTATAGTCATTTTGTCGAAACGTTTAAAACCCCCCACAACGAAGCTTCGGAGAACTTTTAAGTATGTAAGTTGATTAGCATCAAGCTCTAAACGGACTTAGAGATGTCCGTCTGTCCAGTTGTCTGTCTTGAAGGCAAACATTGAAAGTTCTTGCAGGCAGGCTGATATTGAAATTGAGCCACATCCGTCAAGGGATGCGGTCACAGCATGACCGTAGACCACCTTCGTCTTCAAAAATAACGAAAAATTTGATTTTTGCTTGTTATGCCAGAATACGCATTTATATTGTATGGGTGGGGCTGCACGACACTTACTCAGTATTACAGAATATTGAAATTTCATTACTTTCGAGAGAGGTTTGGTGCGCCCAAAAAGAAGCTTCAGAGATCACACACAGTCTACTTATTATTGATCAGTATCAAACGTTGATGAGTAGAAAAGATTCGGTTACGACCGAATATAATTTCCTTACTTGTTCATTTGTATGCATGGTTGGAAGGAAATTTAAGTTATCATGAAACTTTATACCTTAAGACTTTGTTTCGATATAACACGGTACTTATTGTCTGGTTTTATATCGATATTTAATGTCTCGTATAACTCGGCTTCGATATAACTTGTAACAGGTTTCAATGCAACGCGGTACGATTTAACTGCGTTATGCGAGAGACACCTGTACTATAGACATCGAAAGAGTTTTCTTGAATAACCTGCGGCTACTACGACTTCTCAGCGTTTATTAAATATTCTTAGTATAGGATGTAATTACTAAACTTATATATATATATATATATGTATATATATATATATATATGTATGTATTTCTTTCCCTAAAGACAAACTGTCATAAATTTTAAGGTAAGTGTTGAAATCTTTTTTTATATAAATAATTACTAGATACAAACTTGAGTGTTTTCTGTTTTTCTTTTTGCTTGTTGTTGTTGTTGTCGTTGTTTTTATTTTTTTTAATCAATGCCAGAAAATTTAGGTTTTTGGCTTTCTGACACTTGAACATACAAACGTGTCTATAGATGTGTGGTTAACCCCATTAAGCAATAATTTAGCACTAGTATCTACACGCATACGTACACATATTTTTAACAATTTCTTTTTATATTGTATTTTTTAATTTTTTTTTTTTTTTTTTTTGTTTAATGCATTGTATTATATACCATATTGCTCTTCTTATCTTGTGTTTTTTCTACATTTCTTTTCTTAAATGAAAATGCTTTGTAATGCTTTACACTCGTAATATAAACAGAACGCATATATGCATGCACCTGTAAATAAGAATTCTTTTATAAATACATATTTTTATATGTGCATAGATATGTAGACAACATAATATTTGCTTGCTGTTGTTGTTGTTGTTGTTGTTATCATTATACGTTATTGTACGTTTTGTCGACTAATAGCTGTTGCTGCTGCTGCTGCTGCTGCTATTGTTGCGCTGGTTTTCTTTTAAGAACATATACACGCAAAACAATAAACGCATGTATGTGACCTATATTAGCGCAAAATCTAATTGACGCATACGACGTTCTGCTATACTGTATAGTCATGTGAACCAACAAATCGCATAATTAAAAAATAGAAAAAAAAAAAATTTATATATATATATATGTATGCATTATAATGTGTTATATGTTTACATTTATGCATACTTACACACTTACTTATACAAAAGTCATACATAAAATAATAAGAAAAGGAAAGACAAATAGCTTAAGTGTTCTTGCTAAGTGCTTGTGTAGAAAGTACCAACTCTACCAGAAGTTTATAACTAAATGTCATGCAATCAACTCACTTATCTTGCAACTGTGACTGCAACAATGCTCTAAAACTCAATAATTTCGTTTTGTCATCCCGCTATCTAGAAATAGCCCAAAATAATGAGAGATCCCTTTCTTTGTTTATATTCCTTTACTGGAAAGTAAGATTCAAATCAATCCCGTCGTATAGCCGTCGTCTCATCAACAAGGAGTGCGCAAATTTTTATTAAAGCGGCCTGTCCCACCAAAAAAAAAAAACCGTGATCCTGGCAATGCCTAAATGAAACACATCCTTATTTGATAATTATTATATAACGCGGGCATCTGACCTCTTTGTCCCAGTCTATTTATTCTTTACATTGTTTTTTTTTTTTTTTTTTGCTTCTTTTTATTAGTTGTTTTATTTTTTGTCACCTTTGTTATCGCTTTCATCGGTTTTGCATTCTAATATCAATTCCTATAATATCTTAATTATATCAATTTTGTATAACATCCTCTATGAGCTTAACGTGATCAATATCCCAGAAGTGTTCAAAAGCGGACATAAGCTATATAGTTAGTTGATCTCATTACCGTTAGATTAAGCTTGATTTCTCAATCTCAATCGGGCATTTAATTTTGTTATTTTATATTACAAAAACAAAATCTTGCAGTCTTTCAGCATAGTTTTCGAAAGGTGCCTATATTTTATTATAAGCAACAGGACAAGGAATACTTTTTATTTTTCAAAATATCCATAAAGCATGGAAATATGGACACGATCGACACCACATAACGTATATATAGCATATATTTTTAATTAATGCGAATAGCGGAATTGACTAAGCAATGTCCGTCTATTTGTCCACGTTTTGTCTAAAAATGTTTGGAAATAACTAAAAAACTCTTTTCTATATATGCATGTGTATACACGCACTTATATATATATGTTTGCAAACTTTTCTTTTGAAAAGTGTATTTCCTGAACGGAAGAATGCAAAAGTACAACAACTGTAACTGATTTACATTTTCTCTCGTATTAAACATTGGAAAACCGGATTAAAAATATTTGAAAAAAAAATACTCTATATATATATATATATATGTAATGATTTACAAGCATCGTTTACGTCATAAAATAGACTCAAAAAAATTTCTATATAATAAAATTTAAATTATTATTTTGAATGGAGAAAAGTGAAATGATATCTAATGCAATTAAAGCCATTGTTTAACTATAAATCCAGCCATCCATTTGTCTTCTCGAGGCGTTCTTTTCTTTTCTGCTTTTTGACTCTTAAAAGGAAGAATAATTAAATCTCGATATCTTTTATTTAAAGAAATTTGATAAGATTGCTGCCCGTGCTGTAAATGGCAATAAATGCAATAAATGCTTTATATCTGCGCCTATACATCAGATGGGCATCACTTTTTTTCTTTTTCTAATTGCGAAACACTTATAGGTTCAAAGTTGGGATTTGAGAAGTATATCAAATTGATTTAATAAGTTTGGGCGTATTTACTAAAAATGAAAATTTTTACTAATCTCTAAAATCCGTAAGGAATTGTTAGAAAGCTTAGCGTTTGTAACAAGAAAACAACTGCATTCGACTTAAGTCATCAACCTTTTAAGTGCCACTACTAGCTGCTACTACTACTACTACTAAATGTCGATGGATCTCGTGTACTGCATGTTGTTCTTAAACCCGTTAGGCAAGTGGAGTGCCCACTGGAAATAATGTTTACCCATTTCGTATCTCATACTTAGCATCGTTATTGGGAAATCGTAGTCAGATCTTTTTCACACGCCGTTGTCGGCGTTAAATCACCCGCCATCGCTCTGCTCTTATAAGAACGAAAATAATGAATCGTATCCTTACATTCAAAGACTAGTCTAGTCTGTTCTCTCTCTCTCTCTCTCTCTCTATCTATCTATCTCTATCTATCTCTCTCTTTATCGGTTTTCTGACAATGAAGTGCAAGGAAAGTCATTCAATTTCGTCGAAGGAAATATAAACCTAAGACCGTAAATAAAGTTAAAGTAAAATTACAAATTGTTTTTAATATTTCACAAGGCAATGATCAGTCGATCGCCGTCTCTGTTTTCATGGAACAAAAATGAAAAAAATTACGATTTGCATCTAAAGAAATATTTTACAAAAAAAAAAACTTCTCACAATCTAATTGAACCATTTTCGTTGAGTGTGTTTATACCGATAAATAAATGATTGCGGTACCTTATTGTTACGGTATTCTTTGTTATGCTTTATGTAGATGATAACTAAAAAAAAAAAAAAAAAAAGAGAAGAAAAACACACACAGTATAACTGAAACGACTAAATAACATGTGCGCGCGAAGGTATAATTGCCGGTTAGGTTTACCGGTTTTGTAAAAAAAAAAAAAAAAAAAAAAAAAAATTAAAAAAAAAAAAACTAAATAAAAAATGAAAAAAAGGAAAAATACAACAATAACTAATATTCATAATCAACCAATAGAATGTTTCTGTAAATCAACGGTATAGTGGCACATAATGCAAACGTGTTATGCATGTCATCTTAGACATTTCCATTCTATTCTAACGAAAAGAATAAGAATGTCTTAGACAGCCGCTCAAGCAATTTATTCATAAACTTATAATCAAAGTTTTCAAGAAGAAGAAGAAGAAGAAGAAAAAAAAAAGAATATTTCTTATAAAATTATAATAAATTTATTAATCACAAGTCTTGCAAAAAAAAAAAAATATATATATAATAAATTTTCTTAATATTAAAAATTTTTGGAGAAATTTTTTCTCGTAAAGCACACCAACAACATTTGATTTGAAATTAAGATAAATAATAAAAATAAATAAATAAACTACAACGGGTAAACGCACAAAAACCAGCATCAAGTCATACCCATTAAGCAATTATTTAAAAATTGCAAAACGAAAAAAAAATTTGAAGAAAAAATATTCTATGGAAACTTGTTTGCACGCAAACAATATTTCGGTCGTGTCCATGACCATGGATCTGTATCTGTATGTATGTATATATATATATGTATATATGTATGTATGTATGTTTATATGTACAATTTTCTATGAGTAAATAAATAAGTTGTATTAAGCAATGCAACAAAGTAAACCACAATACGTACCATTTCTTTGGCGGCTACTGCTTGCAACAGTAACTGCAGGTAATGCACTCCACGCATGAATTAACGGCAGCAGAGCCATTACTAACACTAAAACCCAATCCATTATTCATACACTAATTAGTACTTAGTAATTGAATAGAGCTAAGAGCCCTTATCTCTCTGTCTTAGCAATTCTAAGCAATTTGCTTTTGTTTTGAACAGATCAACTTATCTTTTTTCGTTTACATTATTTTGAAATTCTATTTATTACAATTTTCCGTTAAACAAAAAAAAACTCACACTTCACACACAAATGTCTTGTCTTGTTTGTTTGTTTTTTTTTTTTTTTTTTTTTTTACTCTTTTGTGCATATATAGTTCTTATATGTATGTATCTATGTGTGTATCTATGTATTTATGTATAGATGTATGTATTTTGTTTGTGTGTATATGTTTGTGCATGTGTATGTATATGTGTCTGTGTATGTATATATATTGGTTTGCGCCCGCGTATATAAGCGTTTGCATATATTTTAGCTCCTTTCTGAATTGAATCACTTGACTGTTTACTTTTTTCTGTAACGCAAACTAGCCGTGGAAGATCTTCACACAAGTAAGTTCAAGGTAAGATTAAGCCATGACTAGCATATGTAAGAAATTATATACCGCCAAAGACTTCTACTACAGAAAAGCACATACACATACACACAAAAAAAAAAAAAAAAACAGACACTCACGTTGTGATAGAAATGCCGTTGTTAACCGAAAAAGAGTACGAAAGTGTTTACCACAAATAAAACGAGTCTCGATATAAATTTTTCTCTTTTAAGCTTCATATGGTTAAAATGAAATTAAAAAAAATTGATGGGCATGTGTTCATATATGCAACAAAAACAAAAAAAAAAACAAACAAAATATTAAAAAAGAAAAAAACTCTAACTATGGTATGCATACCATTAACGATGAGTAACAATAAAGTTTGATAGTTTCATTGTTGTGCAGACAGATATGTTATACGATAACGCGTTTAATTGATAGCCAACTTAGACTATCGTTGCCTAATTTTTAAGTCTTATTGAGTTATACTAAAACGAAAAAAAAAATAAATAAATTTACTATACATGAGATAAAATATATAAACGTCGGTTAGCGAACTACAGCTAATGTGCATAGGAAAAAGAACATAAAATGTCTGTCAATGCATTTAATTGATTTTTACTTCATTAAGTCGTTTTTGCTTTTCTGCGGCTTAATATTCGCCTACTGGTGTTTGAAAACGACAAAAATAAATAAAATTCTCAGTGTTCTGGCTTGCTATTGCTTGCTGCACGATATATAAGACCAGCTTGTCGGTTGACGATTCTTGGTCACCGCATACTTGTGTTAATTTCTAATTCATTCTCTCTTCTCCATCTTTCCGGTCATCCGATGCTTATTGCGAAAAGTGAAGTAGAAAACTGAAATATTACTTATGTCCTTTTAGCTTATGCACATACATACATATATTTAAAAATGGAAATAATGCGCTCATAAGCACACCTATAATAAGCAAACTTTGTATTCATAACGAATATTGATCTGAGTCCTGGCAAAAATCATTTACAAAAGACTTTGATCAACACGGAGGCACAATTTCAACAAAAAAAAAAAAAAAAAAAGAAAACAAAGATCTTAACATACCAGAAGGTGATAATTCCCCCCTTCCGCTATAAAATGCATTTTGTTATGGAAAAAGGTTTCACTTTAAAGGATGTTAGTATAACTAAACTATGAAAAGTACGGAGGGACGGACAAAATGTAATTTAGATCTGCTGAATTGCAGTTTTCCCCAAAAGAAAAAAAAACCTATTTTCATTGGAAATTTAGAATCCGGGGATCTTTTCGCTGAGATGCTGCTTTTAATCCAAGCCATACACAGCGGCACTGTGTAAGAGGATTTCAATTCATTCGTAAATATGATCATCGCGAACAAGTTGATCTTGAGCTTACCATCAGCAATCGTCCTTCTTCCTTTTCAATAACAAATTTCGTTTCGCGCAATTTCAGGCAATTATTGGAATGTAACTCGCATTTATTTGTTCAGTTTGTGTCTTAAGTCTTTTGTTTCGAATGTGGCATTTCCTAGCACAGCAGCAAAATATGTAAACAATTTTACTTTTTTTTTTTTAACGAATTTATTTGCGCCTAACGCAACAATTTTTACTACGACCTGATTAAAGCAACTTTGGTTGCGAGCAAAGAATTTATATAAATAATTAATCAATTTATAATAAAAAAAATATTACGTGCTTGCATAAATTTTGATCATTTTTTTTGCTTGAAAAAAGCATTTATGAAGAGAAGAATTGGCGATTGCGTGTCGACGGAACGATATTGCTTTGGCAACGATCCAATCATCGATTCATTTTCGCACTTCTTCAACTCTGCAAAGTTGCGTGCCAACGATACTCGATCTGAACAAAATGTATTCGAAGGCGCTTTGTTTCGTGACTACGCTGGGCACCTATTCGAGCTTCAACAGTATAGTGTAGGCAACTCTTGCGACAACTGATAACAAAATGACAGTGTGGTAACTATTTTAGCCGCTATTCCGCTGATCTTTTTTTCTAACAATACATTGTTCAATTCGTTTAATTGACATCGGTTGATATCTACAGTGACAGCTTCAATTGGGTTCAGCAGCTCGTAATGCACTGCAAAACAAAACGTTATGGCCATGAATATTGCGATTTGGTGTCGATGTGGATGGTTTTTCAAAACTAACCCATGACGTTTCCATGATGTTGGTATTGTCGTCATAGATCCACTTTTCATCACCAGTCCAAATAGGCCGCAAAAAACTTTTTATTCTTTCTTGGCTGGCAAGCAACAAAAGCCTATGAAAGTAATGATTGTCGAAAATGCAGAGGAAGATCAAAATCATCGAATTTAACCGTTACGTACATTATACTTCGCATTGCTTTATCATTTTCAGCAAATAAATATCGCTGACTCCCATCATTCTATTAAGCGGCGCACTTGTAATATAATTACACCAGCGCTTGATCCAATACAAACGTTCAAATGTTGTAAGGCGTTCAGCTGCTACCTTAACAAATTTTTCTTCTTTTTTTTTTGATTCAACTCATGCAATACGAATTTTTGTCTATCAAAAGAGAAAAGACCAAGAGAGGTCGTATTAGCATAACTAAATACAATGTTTGCCACATCATATTAGTTCAGTTCATTGCCGAAAACTTGTGAGAAAATGCAAACAAAAAATGGTGATCCCGCGATAACGGATATAAGAAGAAAAGAAAATAGAAAAATAGAGGTAACTGTTAGGCCTGTGATATCCTGTGATTTTCAAATACCGTTGCCTTCGATTGGCCGCTGTTTTCGCTTTACTGAACGTACTAAAAGTCAGGCAAGATAGTGCGGAAAAATGATTTAATTTTCTCAACTGTGAAGCGATTAATTAAAAAATAAGAAAATTACATTCGATCGTGACCGAATCTTTTACACCCATTACCCATTATTGTAAAAAAGGCAAAAAAAAGTAAAACAACGAAATTTTTATGGTCTACAATATGAAGTGGGCGCGGTTGATTTTTTCTATTTTTAAAATGAAAATTTTTGTCATATGGGCGTGTAGGTATTTTGTAGTCGATATCTTCATATTTGCGAAACGGAGAATATTGACCACAAATGCTACACAATTGGGCAGATGGACAGACGAATTATATACGTTATGGGGTTTTCGAAGCTTGCCTCTGCGCGTTATAAAGATATCCGAAAAAAATTAAATAATGTTATAGTATAATATTGGGTAGGCGTGGGCTGGCACTAAAACATTGCCTATAGCAAATACGTTCCAATTTTTGCACATTTATCTTCCACAGTATATGAGTAATGAGCTAAAAGAAAAATCAATTTTTTATACTTTTTGCAAATAGACGTTTTCTCCGTTTACGTGGCACTGTAGGCGTATTCTTCCAGCAAATTTAGTGCATTTTCAATATCAATCTGTGTGCAAGAAATTCGAATGCATTATCCAAACTTCAGAGCGATAGCTTCATTTGTGTTACTAGTTTATAACAGATATTACACGGACGGATATACGGATAGATGGAAAACGCATAAGCTTAAATCGATGCAGAATTTGATGCTGATCAAGAAAATATACACTTTGTGAGGTCTCTGAAGCTTCTTTTTGGGCGTTACAAACGTTTTGTCAAAATGAACATAGCTAGCGTCCGTCGGTGATGGATGTAAAAATTTTATGCTGAGTATAGACATAAACTGCTTACAAAGTAATATGATGCCATATGCATACATAATTTAATGTCATTATCTAATAGATGTGAATGCCGTAAGTGCACTAAAATTGTCATTCTCTAAAATAATGAAATCAATACATTGCTTATAACCCGGGATTTTTATCAATTAGAAAGAAGAAGCACTTGTTTCAGCTCTGAATACACAGAATCACTCAGAAGTTTAAATACATTTTCATCTTATACGTACTTGAGTATAATGAGTATATTAAAAAAAAATAATAATAATAATAATAAATGAATAAATGAATTGTTAAAAGGATGAATTTTGACTTTTTTTAAACATTTTATATATTCCCATTTAATATTGTTCTTTCAGCTTTTCGCTTTTACTCGAGTGAAGTAGATTTTTCTCTATAAAATAAAATCTTTTCTTCCTATACACTATCCCCCTTGGGCTGCGGGTTAAGTTAGTACGAATGTATGTAAAATGCAGAAGAGCTTAAGATAGACTCATCTTTTGTACTATCGATCGATTCAGACACATAATCTGAATTGATCTAAACCTGTCTGTCCGTCTGTCTGTCTGATTTCTGTACATGTAAATTTATATTTAAGCTACAGGCGGCAATTTTTAAAATATTTTGATGAAATTTGGTCCAATGACGTGTGTTGAGTCAAGGACGAATCTTAATGAAAATGCTTCGGTTCGGATCGGTGCACTTTTTCGACCCCTTACCCATATAACGCTCTATTCTGCAGAGTACTAGTATGGGAAAAAATTGCAAATTTTTTAAAATTTCTCGACAGAAATGGCTAAGTACTAGTATATCGGCATTCTAAACTGGTATGAAAACTTTCGACAGACTGGGGTAAGTTTTGAACCCCCTCTCATATAACAAAAACTGAAGTTTATACGATACAAAAATCGGCAATTGTCAATGCGTCGTGATGAAAACTATATCGTAATAGTAACTTAACATAAAAATATTAACTGTACTAAATACAGTTCGACCATCTCGAAATATTATTTAGATTCTGCCCAACGTAAGGATTTCATGAAAATTAACCCTATATAGGGCAGAAAAGTGTTAATTT